GGGTGGGGGGGCGGGGGTCGGTAAAAGTGCGATACATAGTTCTCAGCTTCGGTGAGCTGAGAGCTTCTGAGAACGTCACGTTCATATAGGTCCCCTGAGGATCTTGTTCAAATGCAGACTGATTCAGCAGGCCTGGGGTGGGCCTGAGGTTCACATTTCCACCAAGCTCTCAGGAGATGCTGATGTTCCTGAGCTGTGGCCAAAACGGGAGTGTGAGGGGCTAGAGAGAACTCAGGGTCTAGTTTAAGAGAAGACATAAAAGTATAAAAATAATCAAAGAATATCATCGTGTTGCACTGGAGATGCTCAGATGTCTGGGGTACAGTGGGAAGCCAGGAGAGCCTTCACAGAGGCATTGGATCTGGAGTTTGAGAGAGGACTTAGCAGGAGTCTGAACAGGTAGCTGAGAGGGAAGGAGAAGGTGGCCTAGGAAAAATACTAATAACAAAAAAGACAAAACAGCAGCATATGCAGAGGCATAAAACTCTGAAAAAGCACAGGGGCGTGACTTGCTGGGGCACAAATTTCCCAAAGAGAAGCCTGTCGGCTTGTAAGGAGGAGACCCAAGGCTACGGGCACGACTGCGACCGTCCCCATGACCAAGGAGGTGGCCGACCACGGGCTGCACAGTGGCATGGCGCAGGGGTCCAATTTGAGAGCAGTCTGGGAGGAAGATTATCGAGGTGAGGACCTTGCAGAGAAAGGCGGAAGAAAAGGAGTCCAGGATGACTCAAGTTTCCAATGGGTGCAAACAGGGTGGTAGTGAAATGCAGCCCCCACTCGCCAAGACCCAGGAGGAGCCACAGGTGGGACTGGAAGACAATGAGTGGAGACTGGGGTCCCTGGGGTTTAAAGCGTCGGTCACACGTCCACATGCAAGTGGACGGATGCCTGGTGGAGGACAGGCAAGGTGCAGGGAAAACGAACATGGAACCGCTAATGCAGCCCTGTGGTGGGCGGGCCTCCTCCAACGGAGACCCTTAGACGTACACGGACTCACGCTCTAGTCCAGGACTGACGTGCAGAGAACGGTGACTAGCAGGCTGAAGGGTGGCCTGTGGCCGACGGGATGGGAAGTAACTTAAAGGAGAGTCGACAGGGGTGTCAGGGAGAATGAGAAGCAGATGCTACCTGTGCTGTCCAGGAGCTCCAGGCAGGGATCTGTGGACGGCAGGGCTCGTGCTGGGCCAGCGTCCAGGACAAGGCTTCCTGCACAGGCCGGACAACGGGGCCGCCCAGCACCAGGTGGGGCCGCCCAGCACCAGGTCAGGCCGCCACACTGCATGACAGCTCCCGGCCGCAGGCGGGGCGACAGGGTGGCAGGGCCGGGGGCGTTCGCGCACGGCCAGCGTGGCTCCACAGGGCATTCCCAGAGTCCCTCTCAATGCGCAGAAGTTCTTAAAAGCGTTCAGTAGTGGTGGGTAAACATACACACTATAAAATTTACCATTCCACCCTTTTTTGAAGTGTACAGTTCTGCAGCATTAAGTGCATTCACATCGTCGCCTGCAGAGTTTTGAGATAAAAAATGACAGCCGCCCATGTCCCCTGGAACAAGGCAGGCTCTAAAGAGAGAGGCATGCAAATATCGAGGCATCACAACACAGAGCCCCACACCCTCGGAGGACCCGTCAGGACAACTGTGGGAAAGCAGCAACAAAGAAGTTCTTCAAATACGACCCTCCACTGCGCCAAAGTGGCTTTTCCACCAGCCTCTGTTCTGCAAAGTCACTTTTCCTTTAGGGAACCTCCCCTCCCATGTTTTCTTGGTGGTAGAGAGTGGTAGGTTTTTAAAAAAAAACAACACATTTTTTTTTTTTTTTTTTGCCATGAAGAAAACTTCCTTTCCTGCAGAGTTCCGCCTCGGCTCTGAAGCAAGCAAAGGAACACGGAAGGGCTGAGAGAACCCCGGGAGTAACGAAAGAGCACAGCAGACTCGGGCACAAAGCAAACTGCCAAGGATTCATAACTATAATCATAAACTTGGCTGTGCTGCTGTAAATGTGGAACAACCCGGACGGTGACTCACCCGCTAAGATAATGTTCAGAGAGCCTGAGCCGTGCCACTCTGGGTGGAGAGCCAAAGTCTATCTGCTCTTTTTCTTCCTTTTTCTTTCTTCTTGTTTACATGGGTATGAATGTTACACTGAATTCTCCTTTCTACAAGGAACCCTCCAGACTGTGATATTATTCTTCCGATTTCTCTGACAGAATACTTCTTTTTGCCTCTTAGCACAAACAGGCTGTATAAAACATGTCAGACATTTCTTGAACACCTTGCAAATAAATACTCAAGTAACCACCCTGGGTTTTTGTCACCAAGCACAGACCAACCTTTCCTGCTTGCCTTGGGCAGTGGAGGGCCCCCAGACTCTTGGGGGGCAGCTGCCTCTGAAGACCCAGCGGGAGGCAGCATCCCGCCAGCAGGAAGAGGTCCCCCACCTGAGGCGGTAGGGCCTGCCATTTTTCACCTGCTCACCCCACTTGCTGCGCACGGCCGTTAACGTGACTCCATGAGACACATCTTATGGGCAGAGCCGCGACAAGAAAGGCTGCCTTCGCATCACCATTATTTGCCACTTTGAACATTTAGGTGCAAAATAAAAAGTGCCCCAGGATGACACATCTTACAAGGTCTCATGGAAGAGTTTCAAAGAATTGATGTGCCATGTGTAGGGATGCACGGGGCCTGAAATTACTTGAATCAAACAGGACTTAAGGAAGTGAATTTTGAATCTAATTTTAATGAATGTAAATTTTGTTTTTTAAAAGTAGATACCCCGCCTAGTGTGGAGCCCAATGCGGGACTTGAACTCACGACCCTGAGATCAACACCTGAGCTGAGAGCAAGAGTGAGCTGCTTAACCGACTGAGCCATCCAGGCGCCCGTGAATGTAAATTTAAATAGCCCTGGGTGGCTAGTGGCTTCCGGGTTGGACAGTGCTGCACGACGCCATGATGTGGGTGGCAGGCCACAGTAGGAAAATCTGACGTGGGACCTGTAATTGTGCTTCTCAGGACCCTCAGACCGTTCCCCAAACTCTTTCCTTTTACCAAAGCGGTAGAAGATGCAGTGATGAAGGCTGACGATGTGCTATTTGCCCGGCTGCCCTGGCAGCCCCTTAAGGCAAAGACTTGTCTAATTTGCCTTGATGTTCCCTCCGTGAGCAGCAAAGGGTGTATATGGTGTGCTACTGTGCTCAGCAGCGCACGCAGCCTTGGAAAGCATCCACACCCCGCCGGACAGACTCCATCTCTCTACCTGGCACCGATCAATACTGCCATAGCACTTTCTGTGATGATGGAAAGGTATCTATCTGTTCTGTCCAGCACGGTAGTCGCCACCTACGTGTGGTTCTTGAGGCTCAGATGACTGAGAAATGGGATTTAAATGTTAAGTAACCTAAATCTGAATAGCCACACGTGCTTAATGGCTATGGCACTGGACCACGGGAGTCTGGATGGTCCACAATTCCATGATGGGACTGCAAACCACAAGAGGAAGGGCTGACATGGAGGGTGTGAGACTGAGCTCCCCAGAGCCCTCAGTCCATTTCCCAAACCCTCTTTCTCCTTTCCCCAAAGCTACAGAACCCCAACCCCATCTCCAACTCAAACTGGCTCAAGTCATGCATGCCTGCATTCCTGCCTTGTCTATCTAGATTTGCAAAACCATGGTGTCACACAAAGGAACTCTCACCCTTCCACACTGTCACTTCAACAGGGCTGCAAGTTGGAGCAAGAGATAGTGATCATTTCAACAAAAGCATCATCCGAGCTCAAGTCACAAGGGAACAGTGACCAGAGGATTATTTAACCAGACGTGTTAAGAACACAGATAAGCTGGAAACCATGTTTGCTGCGGTCAGAGACAACAGAGAGGTAACAACCTCACACGTAAGGAGGAAGCCAGATTTGCAATTCACCTGCGATGTCCAGAATACAATCACGGTGCGCTGAATGCCACAAACCTAGCAGCTAGAGTGGTAAAAATTTACAGATTAACTAAAGTGCCTTCTCGCTAATCCTGTGCCATTAAGGGAGGCATTGTGTTTCCGTATTATTTTGGGTATAGTATGGCACTTAAACAGCATCAATACCAAACGCCTATGGTTGACTTCCTAATGGTTGATCCGGTCCTCTCATACTTCAGCCTAAAATGTCATTTTATTTATGATTAGGTCTGTCCACCTTAAAAACTTGATTTGAGATCGCTTACTCTAAAATGTATAGATAGAGTAGAGCTGTGAATTCATTCAGAGAAAAAAATAAGAGCCATGAATAAGGCAGGGAAGAGTAGGCACTATCTCAGGAACTGGAGTAAGGGAAGCCAGTGCACTGAGCCTAACGTGGAGCTCTGAGTTCCCTGCTAATCAAGACCAAAGGGAACCAGTGATTTCGATACAGCTTATTGAATAATCAAAGAGCTCAAGCCAGTACTTTTGGAAAGATGTTTTTTCCCCCGGCCTTGCGATGGGAAGGGAGTTTGTCACAATTAAAATAGGGCAAAGTGGGGACATAAAAGAATTTAACGCAAACTGTCAACAAAAATTTAACAAAAATGCAGGATTCATTTTTGAATGAACACTAAAGATTCATTAAAAACAAACCCCTCTCCCCAAAAAACCCAGAGGGCACACTGTAGATCTGAGAAGGCTTTCTGTGGACAGGTACAAGTAAGCTTATCTCCAGCGATCTAGAATCTTGCAGTGGTTAAAACTTTGGCAATCTAGAGAAAAACTACTATTAAGGTTAACATATCTATAGCTCTGGAATGGGAACTGATTTAAATGGGGCTTTGCTCATGAACTGGAGACGATTCAAGAGAGCTAACATGTCTGTGGAGAGTAGGTCTCTGTCATACACAAAAAGAAGTGCAAGCTCGAGACCCCAGGCATACAGCTTGTCCCCCCGTGGCGGCAGGGACAGTCTGATGTATGCTGTCATCCTGGCAGAGAGCAGCCTAGGGAGCTGGCTGCAGGCTCCAGCCCTTGACTTAAATGGCCATCTCTGGGCCTGAGCAAATTCAACAGCCAAAACAAGCAGATACAAAGAAGAGAACATGTTTCTTACTCTCGGTGCGGGCTTCGGTTCTGAGAAACCTCGGATTCGCTGTCTTTTGGGGACAGGGAGCCCTTGTACGTGTAAAACACATCTTCAGTTTCAGTAATGTAGGTCATCTCGTTCGCAAGGTTATCGGCAGAAGAGTGCCGAGGCTTTCGGATTTCGTGCCGGAGCCGAGGACTTCGCCTGCGTGGGGGAAAGGTGTTGAAAGCAAATTCCGCTTAAAAACTTTACCAGGCATCAGGGATCTAACTTTGTGCCCTGACCTAAGGATGCCTTGGCTGATGCTGTTGGAAATTAAGAACCAGTTAACCCATTACTACACTGGAATCCACCCAGGGCTACACGAGTCCTCGATACTCTCAGCCCCCGTGCCGTAGCCCCCAGAACGGCAGCCTCGGCTGTAAAAACAGGCAGATGAGATTAATTTACGCCCTTTGGGAGGTTGTGAGTGTTGATTTAGGGTGAGTTATTCTTCTAGGAAGACTCAAGCTCTCAATGCCCAAATAATACACTGTACTGACTACTGATCAATTCTTCGGATTCATTCGAACACGAGTATTAAGTAATGGGTTTAGAAGCCAAAGTACAATTTTTGGCAATACCAAAACCTTACTTCAACTACATCCCTTCATGTGAATTTCACTTAATCCAAGAAGAAATATTTGTTTGTTTGTTTTTTAGATTTTTATTTATTTGACAGAGAGAGAGCAAGAGAGCACAAGGAGGGGGAGCAGCAGAGAGAGAGGGAGCCCAACACGGGGCTCAATCCCAGGACCCTGAGATCATGATCTGAGCCGAAGGCAGACGCTTCACCAACTGAGCCACCCACGTGCCCCGAAATGTTTGCTTTTAAAAATATACCCTGTATGCCCTATTAGATGGGTATGACAGTACCACCCTGTCTTTAGGCAAGTCACACCACCTCTCCGGGCCTCAGCTGTACGTACCTGCTCCTGAAAACGAACCAAATGAAGCAATGTTCTCCGGACGCCTAGCGTGGCCCCTGGGCATCGGCTCCTGCAGTGGGTGACCCCAGGCTGCTGAGCCTTCTTACTTCTATTTTCTCTCCATTTTTCTAGCTGCTTCTTCCTTAGCCATTTCTCCTGGACACTGTCAGGGCCTTCACTATTCCCATTCCCTCGGGGCCCAGGTAATCAATAATACCGTGTCCAGAGTAGGGGAGAAAGGCATGTGACTCCTCAGGAGGGGACCTATAAATAGCAGTAAGAGCTCCAGGCCACGGGTGTGGTGACATCAAACCCTGCTGTTCTCCTGGATGCTGTCCTGGGCCTCCGTTCTGGGGCCCTGGCATCGCTGCCCCAGCAGCTTTCAGACAAATTGAGCTGCTACTTTACAGCATAGATTTACCACTCTAGGATGAAGTGCCTAAATCTTGGGAAACCAAGAAACAAATCTACTCAGTCATGCTATGACTTCTAACACTAACTACCATCAGCATCTCTGCCTAGAGCATTTGGCCCCGGGCGGGGAGGGGGGGTCCTCACCCAGCAGCCCTGCACAGCAGCCCCGTTTTGTGCCTATTAGAATCTCCCTTAGTCCTAGTAGACCCCTCCTTGGTAATTCACAGGTCCACCCGAGTCTTTTGTGACATGAATACAAAGCCATACTCTCTAGTCCAGCGTGGAGCTGGGGCAATGTTTCTGGCTTGGTTTCCCTTCCTGCAAGACGATGCCTGGCCATTTCGGACCCATTCACAAAACTGGCCTGATGTCTCTGAGGAACAACATTCTAATATAACAACAACAAGAATACCACCGGGTTTTTTTTTTTTTTTTTTTCCCCACTTACAAAGCACTTGTACACTGTTAAATCACTTGTGGTGATTTTTTGAACCCTTTGACAGATGGGAAGACTGAGACCAGAGAGGTAAAGAAACTTGTGAGTTAACAAAAGAGCCCAAATCTGAGTCCGGCTGATGGAGCTACACACTGCCCTTCCCACTTTGCCAACTGCTACTTTCTTCCTTTAAAGACAGGCTACTTCCCCAAGTGCATCTGCTACTGCAGCTGAGGACCACACACCCTACACTGCAACCCTTCACTAGGTTTCCCTGAAGTTTATTTTGTGTGATGTTAACGGAATACAGATAAAGTAAAGCTCAGTGTGCTTCCCAAAACATTAATATGCCAGTGTGTACTCTAATTCCACGAGGGGCGTTTCAGTAGGCTGTAGTTCTCAAATTCAGACCAAATAACTTTTTAATAAAAAGGACATCCCAGCATCACACACTAAGGAAAATGTTTAGCTAGGCTTGTGCATGTCATGAAAACACTAAGCTGTTCATTCCGCAAGAGCCAAGCATGCAAACATAAACTCTGATTGCAGGCCACCTATATTGGGAAAACTTAGGAAGTTGAGTTTTTAAGAGAGATCAAGTGTTTACTGGTGGGTAGAACAAAAAAAAAGGAGGACGTACCAGTTGGGAGTGATGGGAGGGGACCGAGAAGGCAGGCTCTTGGTTTCTAAGTGTTCCGCTGATAATGATCTCCGCATGGCTGGGTTCCACACCATCCCTCCAATCACCTTTTTGCAATACTGGTTATTTACAGACCTGAAAAACCAGAAGCAAGGTTCACTTTCCACATGGACAGACGTGTCCAACAAGAAATTACACCATAATAGAAACAGTCTGTCCATGCTCCCTCCCTGGTGGAGGGCTGGTTAGCACCTGGATGACACCAGCCAAGGTTACAAAGTAGAGGTACGAGGTCCAAAGTAGTTCCCTTCTGTCCTGGCTGCCCTTGTTGTTTCTTCTCTTCTGGTGAAAATATTTTCTTGGGCCCTACTACTGCAAGCGATGAAGTTGCTCTCAGAATATCACCGAACCTTACCACGAGATGAGAAGGCATTTTCAGGATAACACAGAAATACAGCTCAAATAACTTCAAGGAATTTTCACGTCACTCACAATGGCACGAATACAAACATTAACCATCCTTCCAGGAAGGTGCTCTTCAACATCCTAGCTGGTAGGAGCCATTAGCTATAAATCACAGATAACTCTTTGAAAGAAGTCCCGAGAATATGCTTCGGGGATGGAGTTCCAGGCCACGTGCTATATGAACGGGCCTCCCTGAAGCTAACTTTTGTGTTTTATTTATACCTAGAGAATTTAAATTGTAGCTATCTAGACCCCTCAAGGAATGAGTTCTTTGAAAGGATGGGGTTTGAAGTCAGTTTAAAGGAAACTCAGTTCTGCCATTCCTACATTTTAAACAATGTTTTAACGTCTTATTAAAACATTCCACGCATTTCCTTGCAGCCAAACAAACAAACAAAAAGAGGACAAAAAACCCAGAAGAACATGAAACTCTCCCTAGAATATCAATGTACTAATTTACAGTAAGAAATAGCATTGTCACCCTGATCAAAACATTCACAGCAGCATCACTAAGAGAATCTACATCAGAAAGCAAATTAGCATTGATTGAGAACACTGCCTCAGAACAAGGGGAGCAAGCGAGAGGATTTAAAAGTTTAATGTCGTAGTTCCCTAAAGTATGTGTCACAGGTTATTATTAGATACTTTTATGGGAGGAAAAAAAAGTGTTCCATTGTCCCTTAAGCTTGCAAAATACTGAACAAGTTCCTTTTATGTGGAACCTCTATCAGGAGGCCCCACATGCAAAGATGTAGGTGTAGCTCTAGGGTTGGGCAAATCATGTGAACTAAGCCTCAGTTTTCTCATCTATAAAATGGACACAGTGAGGGCTGAAATTTGCAATACGATGAAGGTGGTCTTAGTAGTAAAGAACTGCTGGCCCATGTCCCTGAATCACCAATATCCCCAATCGACACCCCCAGTGGCAGATTAAAAATGGCTCCAGTTCTTGGACTCTTGAATGTGGGCTGGCCTGTGACTGCTCTGACCAAGAGTAGCTGTGCCAGTTCTGGGCCTGCCTCGAAGATGACTGGCTGCTTCTGCCCTCGGAGCCCTGAACTTCCATGTAAGACATCCAACGACCATGCTGGAGAGCCACATGAAGAGGCCCTGAGAACAGAGAGAAGTAAGGGGTCCAGGTGAGTCCAGCCTTCCAATCATTCCATCAGGCATGGGAGCCAAGTCATCTTGGATCTGCAGCCCAGCCCAGCCACCAGCTGCCTATCGCTGAGAAACCCCAGTCTATACCGCATGGAGCAGAAGAGGTTGCTGGCCAAGCCCTTCCCAAATTCTCGATCCACAAAATCTCGAGATAGAACAGAAAGATGACTGTTTTGTTTTTTAAAGATTTTATTTATTTGAGAGAGAGAGAGAGAGCGCCCACGCATGGGGAGGAGCAGAGGGAGAAGGACAAGCAGACGCCGTGCTGAGTGTGGAGCCCCATGCGGGACACGATCCCATGACCCTGAGATCATGACATGAGCTGAAATCAAGAGTTGGATGCCAAACCAACTAAGCCACCCAGGTGCCCCAAGATGCTTGTTTTACGGTACCAAAATAGGGGTAGTTTTTTCTCTCACAATGGGTAACCAGAACCTGCCCACCTCACCCCCAATTCTGTGTTGGCTATATTTTACAGAAATGAGGAAATTCAAACAGTAAATTCAAATCAAAAGTGACACAGGCAGGATCTGAACTCAGTCTTCTCAGCAAAGTCCATGCTTTCAACTGCTCACTATCCAATCCTGTCAGCTGGCCCGAAGGCTTAGGTCCAACTAAAGTGAACAGTCAATTCCCGTAAGTTGTGTCTGTGACACGTTCAGTAAGAGCCACTGAATGTATAAAGTACTAGATAATATTATGGGAGCTGGAAACTTTGAAAATAGATTTGTTCTTGGTTCATCAGAAGCTGAGAGAGAACACTTAGCACCATAAATACTATCACTGATACTAACAGAAATTCACTGCCTATTGAATCTATAAAAAGCTACCTAATGATTATCAACATAATAGGAGTGTCACTGGGATAGTCTGATACAGTCCCACATATCAGATAATGGCTCAGACAGGGGCCCTGTTTCATTAGTAACAGCCATATCAACAACAATGCAAAATTATGAAAACAATTTTTCAAACCAACCAACAGTTTACAGTAACTTGATAATTTCTGCTAGATCTTGTACTTAGAGGGCAGTCTTAGAATAAATACACAAAAATATAAACTGCAGGATTAGTTTAGGAAATACACTTTAGAGTTAAAATTTTAGGAGAGTAATTTCTTTCACTGCACTACTCATTAAATATTCTGATTATCATTCCCGTAGATATTAGTACACATGGGATTTAAATATAATTTAAATATAATTAAGTATGTGCGTGGTACAAAGTAAACACTCAATTGCCAGTTTTCACGATTACTGTTATTTTGTGACTGTGATACGTAGTATATCCCAAAGTCACTTGACTCTGAGAAGCTTTATTCCTACTCATTCATTATTCAGGAGCACTGCATGGAATTAACATTCTGTGGGAGAGGATGTCTTAGGAGCACGACGACGCTCAGAGTTACGGCCACGTGCTTCCCTTATTGTGACATGGTGTGGGACTAGTTGTAATTTGGGCTGCTTGGGTGTTCCCAGGGTAGCGGAGTTGTGGAGGTAGAAAGGAAGGATAGGAATACGAGCAGTAGCTGAGTATGCACGGAAGGAGATGCTGTTGCCCCTGGAGACACCTTCAGCCCGGGAGCTCCGGCCCCGGTGACCGGGGCCCCTGGATGATGGCATTCCCCCCTCTGAGGATGTCCCCTACCTGGCGGTGACCAGGACACAGTCACATCTCAGTCTACTGTGGATACCCTCCCTAAAGAATACTCACTTTTTGGGGTTCCTAGAGCCCATAGTCCAGTACTGAGACAGAACATTCTTTTCCTGAGGTAGTAGCTTCTTTGCCTGAAAGAATGTATGATGCTCGACACAGGATTTCCACAAGTTTTTGCAAGATCGGTAATTTAACATGTTGAAGGCCACGATATGTTCCCTGGATTCAGTCTGGGAGGAAAAACACAGTAGAGGTTTCATCTGCACAGATGAAGGAGCGAGCAAAGGCTCACAGGGATTCTATGCCCACATCAGTGGTCGTCAGCTAAGATGTGACAGACAGCAGAAAACCAGCTTCGAAATGCCTGAGGCCACAAACCAATGTTACAGGAATAGTCAGGAGCAGGATCTGTTAACCATCTTATTAACAAGGTAAACATGACCTGACTCTACTCTTTATCATCACTTGTGATCCTTTATGAAGACTCCGATTTCAAATATGCTTACATTGCTGGGTTGGATATATTTGGAGCAACCAGAAAAAGGCTGTGTGATACATTTCTTTTAAAATTTAGCTCTGGGAAAATCTCTCCTGAAGAAATAATTCTTCCATTTATCTGAAACTTGAAATTTTATAAGCCTTTGGATTTCTCTGTTTGTCCCCCAAGCATGGAGTTAAATCAAGCGCTCAGATATCATCACTTTAATTATTTCCTTGACCTTCACCCTACCTAAGTTTTCTGTTTTCATGTTAAATTGCCACCTCGTGCATTTTGGGGCCACCTTCGATCTTGCAATGGGGGGGTCAGGAGACCCAGATTCTAGTCCTAGTTTGCTCTGAGCCTGTGTCCTCATTTCCATGTGTTCTTTAGTGTCCTCATTCCATGCTAGGTGAAGCCATTTTAAGAACATATTATCTCTGAAACCCTGGGAAATGAACATAGTGACAGTAAGTGAAAAACGCAGAGCATAGCAGGACAGAGCACGGTGTCGTTGAAAGAGCAGGAGTCTCGGATTCAAATTCTAGTTCCTCCCTTGGTAGCTGTGGGAGCCTCAGCTTGCATACCTTCAAGTCCTCTTCTTCACCCAGAGTCATGCAGAGAGTGGGGGTCTCCTCTTAGGAGACACATGCAAAGGTTATTGTGCACTCTCTTATTTTTAATTTTTTTTAAAGACTTTATTTATTTGAGAGACAGAGAGAGAGAGAGAAAGAGCACAGAGCCTGCCTGGGGCTCGATCCTAGGACCCCGAGATCGTGGCCCGAGCTGAAGTCAGACACTCAACCGACTGAGCTACCCAGGCGCCCTTACTGTGCATTTTAAACACATCAAGGGCTTGCTCTTGCTGACATTTACTGCTACTCTTCGTGGGCTCATGCCAAGTGCTCTGACCAATGCTCTTTTACTTAATCTTCTGGATCCCCCGACAGGCAGGTGCTACTGCATTGCTAGAACAAGGTAGCTCGGGTTAAGGGAGGTGAAGGAACCTGCCCAGCTGGTCAGTGGAAGTGGGGCAGCAAGGATCCAAACCCATCGTCACTGCCTTCTTGCTTGGAAGCCTGGTAAGCACAGTGAATTCTACAGGGCACTCTGGACCCCGGCATCCATTTTCTGTCCAGCACACGCCAGGCTCTCTCTCCCCGGTCACACATACGGCCCAGCTGCTTTCACCTGCTGCAGAACGAATGGCTGAAGTGGCTACAAACACAAGAAACAAAGCAAGCGTGGACGTATCTCACCTGTTTTTGTCGCTGATGTATAAAGAACTTTTTCCTCTTGAAAGAAATTTTTAGAATGTTCACCCTGCAAGAAAGCAAGCACACAAAATGCACTTAGGGATCAGCCGGGTGGCAGCTGATGCGTCTCAACATGTGTCCTCTGCTCTGTGACCATGAGGACCGCGGGCTCGAGGCTTCCCGGGATTGACCTCAGGGTAGGAACGATGGCGGGCCCGTCGCCTCAGCCAGATACCAAGGAGCTGACTGAAGCCGAGTATCACACAAGGGCCGCTGGACTGTGACCTAACTTTTAAATGACAAGAACCACAGGCAAAGTGCTCTCTTTGCGGTCAGCTGCTTTGGTGATGCCCAGGCAAAACAGCTGAGGGCAGCGTGGAGAAGGAGGACAGAGAGCAGCCAGACAGACGTGGGTCCACATCCCAGCTCTGGCGCTTACTGGCCGTGTGTCAAGTAGCTCCTCGACAGTTTGCACAAGAACACGACCATAGCCCCCACAGACAGTATTTTTATATACCAGATCCCCTATTAAAAGCTTTACTAGCAGTCCCTCAACTAAGCCTTGCAACAGTCCTGAACTGTATGATTAGACCCAGTTTTCAGATGGCAAAACTGAGGCTCAGTGACCTCACCAAAGTGCTCAAGATCGTTCAACTAGGAATGCGTGGATCTGAGCCTGTGCTCTCAAGTCCTGCACCACGAAGTCCTTGGAAAGCACTGCCTTTTTCAGAGTGGTCTCATGAGGATTCAAGTCTGAACACTTGGTAAAAGTCCAACTAATAACCAAGGAACCACACTGACAATACAGTTCCTGCCCAGAGGAAGTTCTCTGACTTCTGGCCAATGCACTGCCCGGGACTCCTTAACTCCGAAACCTGCCTTGCACCATTTTATCCCTGTTTCCACAGAGTATCCCAAACCATACAGTGACCGGGGGAAGGGGATGCCGGTGAAAACTCAACTACTTTTCCCAAGTACTGAATCTGGGTCAACCAGAGAGGTCAGAGGGAAAAACCTAGGGGTAAAGTCTCCACTCCTCCTTCAGAAATAAAAGTGTAAAATTAGAGATAACGTTTCTTTTTGTTCAGTATATTTTTAAAGCATGATTCAAAAAAATAATTAGAACTGGTCTGCACTTACCAAGGATAGAAACTTGTGCAAATATATTTTCGGTACACGGCGATGCCCGCAGAAGCAATCCCAATCATTAGCTCTAAATTGTGCAGATCCTGTAAAAGGGAAGAGCTCAGATTCACAGCGTGTCACGGTCACGCTGATGCCCTCCTGTAACTCAAGCACCCACGCTTTTATAAATAGCAGTATGTATATGCTCCAAAGGGAAAATGTTATGGAAAACAGGCACAGAATACTTCAGATCCCAGTACTTAGCAGCAGACTCTTCTAAAGTGAACATACACAGTCTGAGAGCAGCCGCTGGGTCCCACCAGGGCTGTTACCCACCAGAGAGTTACCAGGCAGGCCCACTCGTCCTGCCACAGAATCCTGACATGAACATCCAATTGTACTTTTTCAACAATTACATACCATGCTAGCATCAGCAAGGCCTCACCCTCTGCACAGCTTTCCACCAATCTCAACTCCCATCATGGGAAAGGTGTTAGCTACCTGTCGTCATGAAGCGTAGGACTGCTGACTTTAAATCCAATGAATAAATAAATATTGCCTATAAATCCAATAGACTCAACATTCATTAAGAGCCTGCTATGTTGGGGTGCCTGGGTGGCTCAGATGGTTAAGCGTCTGCCTTCAGCTCAGGTCGTGATCCCAGGGTCCTGGGACTGAGCCCGGCGTCTGGCTCCTGGCTCAGTGGGGAGCCTGCTTCTCCCTCTCCCTCAGCCTCTCCCCCTGCTCATGCTCTCTCTCTCTCTGTATCTCTGTGTCTCGAATGAATAAATAAAATCTTTAAAAAAAAAAAAAGAGCCTGCTATGCTATGCATTGCTATAGACATGAAAATATGGAAGATACAGCGACTATAAGGTATTTAAATTCATTTGAGAACAAGGTGAGTAAAATTTAAAACTAAAACGGTTCCTTCCCAGAGTCATCTATATCCCAATATACCCACTCAGATACTTGTAATTATATTAAAAAAGGGGGGGGGCACAGTCTGACTTAGTTACCACTGAGTGTGAACGTTGGGTTTGCCGCTTACTAGCTGTGTTATTTTGGGCTACGGAGCCTCATTTTTTTCCTTTTGTACAATAAGGATTATTAAAGCCACCTCTCCAAGGGTTTTAATCAGGCTGAAATTACAGAATATGTGGCAGGATAATAAACTTTCATTCCCTTTTGCCTTCCAAGATGTGGTGGGACAAATTACTGTGAACAGCGATGCGAACACGGGGAATCAGAGAAACTGGCCAAAGAAAACAGCACTGATACAGGCGAAAGTCCAGAGAACATTCACTACTGGGCACCCAGCTGAAATCACATGCAATTCATCCCCTGATGGTCACTGTTCACTAAACTCCCAGGCTGTCCCCACATTCCCCAGCTGTACATGTAGAAGACAGGGCCATATGACTAGTCGTGGTCAATGTTCTAGGAGAAGTGATGGGTCTCTTCTGGGCTGAATCATTTAAGAGCTGCCGTGCGACCCTCCAGCTTCCTCTTCACTCGCTACAAGCATGAGGCCACGTGTGGAGCTGGTGATGCCACAAAATGGAAACAGCCTGGCTGCCGAGTCGCTGCAAGTAGGAAGGCTTCCCTGGAGGGTCGCTGGGACCCACCGCAGCTTTTGAACTACTGCGGAAGGTACTTTGTGGTATCAAGTTATTGATAGGGGTTTTCGGATGACCCAGCATAGTCAAAGGTAACCCAACTCCCTCTGATACCTTGGGAGGTGTCAGCCAGGCAGGTAATCATCTGGCTTGAGGTCTCTCATGGGACACAGGTGGTGGGGAGAGCACAGATCAACTCAGAGACATAGAAAGCCCACTTCACCACCGCAGAACGCTCTCCACAACATTCTACGACAAATTATTATTTGCAAATGTAATAAAAAGTAACCGTCAAGTCCCACAGTTGGTATTTTTCTAAGATCCCATATCTTTTTCCTACTTTATTACTTAGGTCATAACTTGCCTATCACACAGTTATAAGATTGAAGGGACACAAAAGAGACAGAAGTGTGTCTATGAATTGCAAAAATATTCTATTTACTCAACTTCCCCAAGCCTCCATTTTCTCAGTGTAAAATGGGATGATTAGCATACTGGCTTCACAAGGTTGCTATAATCTTTAAATGGACCTTGGGGTCTCGTGAAAAGCATCTCAAACAATGGCTAGTACCTACTAGGTGTTCAACCAATATTTACTTCCTTTTAGATATGATGTGGGCCAATTACTGGTAGAAAATTAAAGGCCAGATGCCAATTAGACGGTGCTGGGGTCATGTACTGAAGCTGCTACTTCTGTGCTATGTGACCTCTGAGAAGTCCCTGAGTGTCAGTTTCTCCATCTGTAAAATGGGGGTAGTGATAATACTCACCTCATGGCATTACTGTGGGACATAAGCAAACCACTGTGTCCAGCAGATAGAAATTGCTCAGTAGATGATGGATATTAATCAATTTCATTGAAAAGGTCACAGTCAATTTAAAATATTTATTGGTTTTCATGATCATACCATTATAATTTTTAAAAGCTGTCATATTTGAGCAATTAACTGTATTTTGAGCAGCACTGAGATGAAACAGTAAAAACCTTGGCTCACCAAAGTATCGCTTGGAAAATGGACAAAGACATTTTTTGCTTCTTTAACCGTGACATGAAATCATCTTACAAAAACTACTCATTTCTAATCCCCATGACCCCCCACCCCATGGAAACATAAAACATGAAAAAAGCGACTGGATAAATAACCAATCAAACTCAACATTACTTCATAAACTTTCTGAATATTGTTTAAAAAGGTCTTTTTAAAAATTATTATTATTATACCAGAAAAGGCAGTTCAAGAAGTTTTACTTCCGGAAGTTAATTTCTGAACCCGACCGGGCCAAGGGTACCTACCCTACTGCTGTGCAGCTCCACTCCATAGAAGTCGAGGGTCCGTGCTATGTTAATAAAGCAAGATTCAGCTTCTGATTGCTTTAGCCCACTACAGAAAAGGAGAGAAGATGCAGAGTTTGCCATCAGTAAAGTATATAACTCTAAGTTTTAAAATAAAAATCCCCCTCCAAGTTGGTAACATTTCTGTCAGGTCGTTAAATGCCTTACATTATAAACAGTCCAGCCCTGAATTCTAAAGCAGGTCTTCATCTAGCCTGCTCAGTCCTTTAGTAAATACTACTTCTCACTCGGTAGGCTCTCAGTCCTCAGATACAGAAGACAGGCACCTTGCGAAATTCCCACCCTCCTTGTTCCAAGTTGCTTACTTGATAGGTGCTCTTCAGGTCTTTCCACCTTTATCTATTCTTCGGCAGCCTCAAACTCCCAAACGTCACTGTACTATTTTAGGACGCTGGCTTCTGCCTGGGAAACCGTTCTGGGAGGGAGGATTGGCGGTGCCTTTCAGAAGGGACGCTGGTTGCTTGGCCTCTGTTTTTCCAGCCTTCCCAAGAATGGCCGGCCCCTTGAGACCTGGCCTTCCCGGTCGGGAAGGCCCTTATCTAACCTGGGCTACACCAATGCCACTGCAGCTTTGAATAAAATGCGGCAAAGGACGAGGGGGCCAGACGCGGGCACATCTGCTGGAGTGCAAGCGTGGCCTGAGGCAGCCGTGGAGGACTGGTGTCCCTTCTGGAACGAAGGCCGTTTCATGACCTGAGCCCAGAGAGGACGCGGGATGCACACAGGCTGGCGCCATGCGTCCGTTGGCCTGTCTGTTCCGCGACGCCTGAAGGGGCTGCACGTTTTATTAAGTGTGGTCATCCGTTCAAAGGTTTGCCTGGCAGGTCAATTTGTGGGGCAGTCAGATTTAAAAAGGGCATTTCCCCTAGGAATTAACGGATTTCAACGACATCCTAAAAACAGAACGCTGTAAATCCCCCTAAACTCTTACTGGATTTTGCACTTTACAGAAATGCTAGTTACGCCAAATAGATCTGCTACCATAACAGCCCAAAGGTTCACAAACCCCCAACAGCTTAAAAGAGGACTCGTGAACAAAAGGAAGCCACACATCAAACCTGAGGGAACACGAGGTCTGAAATGCCCGACCTGGGTTCCCAAAGTAGCCACCCCACCCCTCCTCTTACCTGTGCTGCTCATGGAGGGATTCCACCTTCGTTAAAAAGTCATCGTTCTGATCTGGGATAAACTGACTATCGGAAAGATAGCCTGGATGATGAATGGAAGAATTATAGTCTCCAAAATGACCTATCAAGACAGAACGAGGAGGAAATTGCCTTTTCAGTATGGTCTGTATTCACAAGCATCGACGGCATCACAAGAAAGGCACTGCAAGCATTCTTCCGAGAGGTTCTACCACCACAAGCAATAGAGCTTCTCGTTTGCTCCAGATTTCACATTTTTATCGGAACCCTGTATGGGCTAAGTACTACCGTGCAGGCTTCGGCTGAATGCTCTCCCTGAGGCCAGATGTTTGAACAGTCTAAGCTAGGTCCTGTTCTAAACCCACAATCTGTGGTGAGCACAGCAGGTGGTACCCTACCCCCTGGATACAGACATAGAAGGGAGCCCACTCAAATACGCCACACCCTCTATGCCGGGCACTGTGCAGACGGACTCTCTACTACCCCAAGGTGATTATGACACTGGACCAACCTGCTCTAAAACAATGGGTGTGGGCAGAAAAGAGGTCATCATGACCTGACTACTCTCTGCACCTTGACCGACTCCCTGGAATTTGGAGAAGTGCGGAAGAAATGGAACTAGGATGTGTTCGGAGGCACAGTGGGAGGGTGGTGCATGGCATGAGGGATGGGAGTCGGTGGGGCTGTTGGTCTGGGCCCTGGCAAGGCTGAGGGCAGAGTTCTTGGGAAGAAGGAAAACTTTTTTTTTTTTTTTTATTCTTACGTTAATCCCCATACATTACATCATTAGTTTTAGATGAAGTGTTCCATGATTCATTGTTTGTGCATAACACCCAGTGCTCCATGCAGAATGTGCCCT